CTTTTTCAATATATGAATTTTACATTTTACCCTTACTCTATACAGACTATTTTGCATTTAATTCCTAAGTAATGTATGTTATTCTACGAGAATGAACGATAGTTTTTTTTGCATTTCGTCAGACAATCTAAATAATATACACCATTAATTATCAGGAACTTTTCTGAAGCATACAAATTATATAGTAAAAATTCCAAAACCTTCTAACATCAAAATTAAATATGCAATTATTTTTCAAGCTAATTAAACACGAAGATGAATGTAATACTTGATGCAAATTTCATCAAAAACAGACAAACCAGAGAAGTCCACCAAAGTGGACTTCCACTAGAATACACTAAACGAAAACACACAGCATTAACGCATGATTTACAACGTGATATAGTAAAGCGTTCAAAATCGTAAGCTCGTAAAATTTTCCTAACTACCAACACACATATAACTAGAGAGGTACTCATTAGAGCGCATAGCTCCGCCACGCAGTGTTGATCATATTCGGCTCTCAAAAAATAAGAAAATATGTCCGTCGCTATCATCGGACACGAACCATACTAGGCAGAACAATGAGGAATAATATTCTACACATGTCCATCAAAATCAAAATCCGATCATTTTTGACTGAATTATAAAGCAAAAATATTGTGAAAAATCTGACTTCATGTTAACAGATAGGGATATTTTTTTGGAATTTCATGACCTTAAACCTCCAAAAACTAATCACTTCTAAGTTGGGTCATTGTTCAAATCCATTCAGCAGTTTTCGAGAAATCTTGCTGACAAACACACGCACGTGGTGAAAACATAATGATACTTTGAATGAGTGCAACACATTTCTTTGAAATGTCTGTATTTTTATCACTTTTTAAACATACAACACGTGTTACACACCACTGCTTTGTTCACAAATAACATAAGTACTCGAAATCATTACAAAATATTATTTATACGATACTTGCACATCAGAACTGATTTGCGACCAGTCAGTAGCACCCGCCGCCTATGCACCTATTCTTAACGGAATAGAAAGATTAACTGTCACACTAGTAACGCCACCACAGCTGGAAGTACGAAGCATTTTACAACTATTAATGGCTGGAGACGGCTTGAATGGGTAATGAAGAAAAACATTTGCTGTTATGTTAAACTTATATTAAAGTTTTTCTTCATTACCCATTCAAGCCGTCTCCAGCCATTATTAGTCTCAAAGTGGGTTCCTCGTCATAGAATTTTTCAACTATGTATCGTGGCTCGAACGTAGGATTTTTCAAAGGGTAGTCAGGCGTGACAATCACTATGCCATGCCCTAATGAGATATATTACTTCATATCATAATGACGAAAAAGTGGTGCTAACATTTCCAGGCCCTTTTAAGTTAATGACTTATTATTTCATGCCCTACAGTGCAGAGCATTATTTATTTTCGGTAACGAGACTCGAACATCGGATCCACAAATCCATAAAATGGCACGCTAACCACTGGGCCACGTTCAGCATTTGATAATAACAAAGTTTCTAGCAGATGTAAATATCCGGCACTTGCTCTAATAGTTAGAATAAGCAATCCGAACGATAAATATTGGATTTGATCGGCTCATCAGCCACCAGGGCGGCGCAACGGAGGTTTACGGCATACTTCTGTGTATCTCTTTCATGGAAGCACGTTTAGATTCGTAAAGCGTGAGGTCTTGGAAGTTTTCTGAGGAAATATGCTCGAGTATTGCCGTGTAGCGAGTTGTGAGAACAATACAGGTGGACACCAATTTCCAGGAGATATTGGATTTGATATAAAGCGGAAAAGAGATCTAAATCGACTAATCGGAGGATTATACTGTAGTGGCGTAATTCTCACTATAATAACATTTTTAGGAGAGTCCTTGTGTATAATAACATGTATTTTCGACTTGTATTTGCATTTAACTTATTTCCATTGTAAAAAAAAAATCGGTTTCATGCGGCCTTTTTCTAATCGAACGCGCGATCTATATTTATAGGCCACGGCCAACATGTCTGTTTAACGAGGCTCGTTTATTCAGGTAATCCCAACGCGGATTAAAAGCGATTTTTATTGTTTATATAGCAGTAGAATGAAGTAGTTTGTTAGAGCATATAACATTTTAGAGTAGCGCTTGAATTTTTATTTTTGGACGCGATATTCTTGCGTGCAGATACCAAAATATTCCACTGTGACTTCGTTTCGACAATACTCCCTCGGCGAGCGAATGTGGTCAAATATGTTGGTCCCGGTGTCTCGTTGTGTCGGAAAATCTACTTAAAACTATTTAAACCATTCAAGTAGTCCAGCGTAAAATAAGTTTCAAACCTCCAACTTCACATTGTTCATAAGTAAATTGATGTCGTGGTTCTAAAGGACGAAATACGTAAGAGATACGTTTCAACTTCTCAATGTCAACGCCGTTAGTATCATTTGAGAACTTTGCATTCTAATCTACAGCATTTGGGGGGGGGGGGAATCTTGGTAAAACTACAAGAGTACTGCACTACCGCATAGTGACAAATAATATTAATATTATTATTTTTTTTCCCCCCAATAGCAACAGCACCATGCTTGTGAAGCTTTATTTTCCACCGATTCACTCTTTTAGAGTGGTCATTATTTTGTGCGCATGTCAGGATGTTTTACTGAGTAACATTCAAAATTTAATCAGACTACTTTTTTTTTCATCGTGGTATATAAATAAACTTGGCATAAAAACGTAGCTAATAATCCAAATTTTAACGTTATACAAGTTTTAAGTTCTTAATTTCATAAGGCAATATTTAAAAAAATCATCAATTTTCCCAAGTGTGAGAATTGCGACATTTTCTCTCTAGTTGTCACCTTTTCTCTTAATTCATTTACCACCTCTCCAAAAAGTATGAAATTTAACGTAAATTACTCATTATGATGTTCTCATCGCTCAAGCAAAGGATCATTTTTATTACCTTCAAACTTATTTGGTTACAGAGCCATGAAATAGAAAATCAGACCCCTCTTTTAGGAATTTCCAATGGTTCTCTCCTACGTTTCACTGAAACCTGAAACTATTTATACGCCGTACTAAGTATCACATAAACGTAAAGTTTTTGCGCGCCCTCTATTTACGAGTTTATGTGATAGCATGGTGTCTAAATAGTTACAGGTTTTAATGAATCGGTAAAAAAGCAAACTCTACTCTACTTGCTTAATCTGGTTCACACCATAACAGTCTTTCATAAAAAGTGATGATATATACAGCATTTAGACCATTATTATGTCTGACCGTTCCTAGTCTGCTCCTTAAGAAGAAAGGTCCTCCTTTTGAAAGCGCTCGGGTTATAGGGTTTCTATTCATTTCTATCAAGACTTCTTGAACCTATGGGTTTTTCTAGCATTAATTATGTTTGTTATATCCTCGTCGGCCTGATTAGCTCTGGCATTGTACGAAAGGCCTCGTCAACACTGGATATAGCAGATGTGGTGTGGTTGCCATATCATTCTTTGCTTTCACTGAAGGGTTCTTAGAATTACTAATTTTGCTTTCTCCCGTTAACACTAAAGCTGCTTGACCCGCTCTGTTAACAAGAAGACTAGCTTGCTGGTTCTCCAGTTCTTGCGAATGATAGTAAAGTTAATTATAATAAATACTAAGAAAAAACATAAAAAAAGTAATACATGAATAAACAATCAGTTTTTAAAATAACAATAACTAATATTGTGTTGTTAATTTTTACCTAAAATTGCAATTTATGAATGTCTTAAAAAATTATAATAAATATAATTTATTTGCTTAATATGATTAGCTATGATATTAGGCTTATTACAGTATATTCTTCTTTGCTTTCACTCGTGCGTTCTTCGAATTACTATGCTACATAAAGAATAAACTAATTTTGTTTCACATGAACTTGAATAACTTAATCGTTGATAAAGTAATTATGCATCAAGTTAACTTTTCTAAGTAAGTACATCAAGTAATGGAAAATATTTGTAATTGTTGTTGTAATATTTCGCGCCATCTATTGAAGAGCTAAGTAACTACTACAATATCAAACAAAACAAATTCATTATTTAGGGTAGTAAATATAAACACAAGAAAATAGGGAAAAAAAATATTTTATTTAGAGTAATGTAAAGTTGGGTTTATTTAATATGTTACATTTAATTAAAAATTACTGAAGGAGAATTGAGGCCATTTCAAAATATCCAATAAACGCAATAAAGCAGGATACTGTACTATACTTAATAAACAGTGTTAGAACACAATAAACTTATATTACATATGTATTACAGTATGGTTTTCATATGCTCCACTACTTCAGACGACCAATATAATAACACCTATAGGTCTAAGATTTATGATTTTGTTTGTTTTTTTACAATCCCCTTAATTAGTGTGTTACAGATTTCAAATCAGAAGTGTGTAAGTAAAGTATCTGAAGTAAACCTCTTTCATCTATGAAAAGCCATTACCCAGAATGCCTTTGTTAGGTATTGCAGTGTATCTGCTGGGTTGAACCATGATGGCAGCTAACAATCTATATGTGAAATGTTATTTTGTACACGATATTTCCAGATCTAGCTTTTATGTATCAAAAGCCACTGTGCTGGTGGCCTTTTGTTCAATATTACAACTCCTCAACTGGGCTGTACCAAGATGGCAGCCAAAAGAACATCTTAAAGATTATTTATATGCAGTGGGTAAAATCTGATGTTAGACCAACACTGCCTCACCAACTTTCTTCATTTAAAACCATAACATTGCAATACTTCTTTTTTTTACTGTTATCTGTGAGTGACTAAACACTATAAACATTTCCTTACAAATAAGCTGGAGATGAAAGGTTAAGTTCAGATGTTGAACCATTGTGAACAACTCATAAGAAAACTTTAGGTTTTTACATAATCTTTCATTTCACAATGCAATAAATAACATATGGACTGTAAAGGATCCAATCTACAACAGCACATTAGTCAACTCTTTACTCATGCCATTTTTTAAATATCTTATAAACTGGCTTACCTCCTCTAAACTTTTGTCCAACCACTGAACAGATGCCAACTTCTTTTTAATGCTCTTCTTCTTTCGCCAACACAAAACATGGTTCAGTGGCCATGGATATACAGAACCATAGCGTGGTTTCGTGACCTAAGTTTTCATCATACAAAAACAATCGTACAAAATCTGTATAGTGAGTTATAAATCCTTTTGTATACCAAAAATAATTTTTTTTTCCCACATTGAAAAAGCATCAACTTTCACAAGTATTTTATACCAGATTAGTTTGTACCAAAAATATCTAACTAATTTAAAATTCTTTGGTTTAATTAACAAGAAACTACTTGAAAAATAAAATATAGAAGTTTACATTATCTAATTAGGAAACTTAGATTAAATAGTACTCTTCTTGCTACGAAGTTAACCATACAAATTGGGTGATGACAGGTGATGAGAGTATTATCACAATAACTGATAAAATGCATTAGTATATAGCACACAAGACTTCTGTTCATTTGCTGGTTAGATGATTAATAGAATATTTAAGGCATCCAATGCTACCCACAATCCTTCTGATTTACGTTGTTTCTAATAAAAAGAGATAGTGCTTTGGAAGATCTGTTAGCTAAATGAAAGTTCTACTAAAATGCTAAGAACTTCATGACTTCAATAATGTTGGTACACTTTATGTGAGGCATTTGATATTTTATGAGAAATTAAAAAGTGCAAACATAGTAAATAAAATAATAAATAAATAAAGCACTTATCAGAAACCATAAGAAATCAACAATACTAACACACGTTTTCAAGTTGAACATGAAACAAAAAATATACAGTAATAAATTATACAGCAAGTAATACAAAGATGATAAAAAACACAACAACATGAAGCCTGATAGACTACTAGTGTGTAATAAATATCACAAAATGATTACCGATTTTAACTTTAACTTATACTTCTGGCAACCAAAGTAGCCTTTTAGAAAATAATAAAACACACTTTGCCATCCTGGAAAGTGTGAAAATAATTAATCTTTCTTTCATTTTTATCCAATCAGTTCTATAAACATATTGAGTTTGAGAATTAGTTTAGAGTGAAATGGTTAATCTTTTATTTTTTATGGTCTGATATGAATTTTACTCATTTATGAGATCAAGCAGAATACGAAAATTCACATCACGTCTAGACTTGACAGATACATAACAGCAAGTCTGTTTTCTACTTTTACTTATAAAATTGACAAGTTATTATTGTATTTGTATTATGTATTTATGGCGTAACTACTAACACTATTTACCATTGTCCCTAATTTTGAACTATACATCAGAGGGAGGGCAGCCAGTCAGCATCACTCTATCACACATCGTCCATTTTAAGCGAGTGACTGTCACTCTTGTAACAAAACCACAGCTAAAGTGTGGGGGATATTTTGTGATATAGCACAAACTCTAGCCTAACTCACTAGTTCCAAAATCCACAGTCCTACCACAGATCCAACCTGCACTAATTATTGTACAATCTGGTTTTAAAGAGCCCATACATCATCAAGATTTTATTGCTAAGTAACCATGCTTCAAAGCACAAAACTAAATAGCTTCACTGAAGATATTTTCAGCATGTCCAAGATGACAAACTCGTGTATAGATAATTTCTTCTTTAACAGATGGTTTCATTTCTCCCAAGCCATTCTTCATTAAAAGTAATAAACATGACCTTCCATCTTTATATGTTTTTTTATTTTGTGCTATCTTATTCTCAGGTATGATTTTATTTTACTTGCTTCTCTATTTTGCTACATTGTTGTTCAGTTACACCATTCAGCCTAATATATCCACCCTAGGATTAGCTCACAAAATAAATGAACACACGCACACAAAAGATCCTTCCAACAATAGAAGTTTATATGATTTATTACTGAGAAGACAGAATTATACTTGAAAAAAATCATGAGGACTCCTATTTTTTGTTACCTTTTACGGTAAACCGTATAAAAGATACAGGCATATCATATATCTACCAATAAGAAAAAAAAAAAGTCACTTTGTTTCTTGTTAAATAAAAAGCTATGCTTTTATTGGTTGTGTCTTTTAGCCTAGTACTAATGTAATTCCAACATTTTTTATTTGTAAAATAAGTAAAACTGATAGGATGGTTTCAGTGTAATTTTTCACAATTACTTTATTTGTAAAACGAGTGTAACTGATATAAAGTAATTGTGAAAGATGACACTGAAACCATCCGAAGATAGTGATGTATTATTTACTCAATTAAGCACACAAAACTTTTCCAATAAAAAACAAGGGTTAGGAAGTACTTGTCATCATTCGTCACTTATATAGAAGAAAAAAAGTTATCTTTTCGAATCTACACATTTCTAATATCTGAAAACTCTATTTTTGAAGAAGAGGTTTCTATTGCATATTTCTGCCTTATGGTTTAAAATATTTATTGTAGATCTTTCAAAAGAGCTAAATAATTGTCAGGAGTTTAGTTTTGAAAAACTAAACCTTGATGCTTCAAACTGATATTTATTGATATAAAATATGTCACCAGCTTTATAAGCTAATCAGATAAATAAATTAATTTCAAGCAATATTTTATTACAAAAACACTTACACTGTTATTATAATGTCAAATTTCAACAAATAGAACAGTAAATTAAACGACTATAAGACAAAACAACAATAATTTACCATTCAATGAAAAAATAAGGTATATTATCTTTTGTGCCTAATCTTACGTCTTATTACAATTATAAAGTCTAGAATAGAAAGGACTCACCTCTTGAAATGTCTCATTGTGACACCAACAAATGTACAACTGTAATAATAATAATAATAATTGTGTTCTGTAATCACAAAGATATGATAAATTTTCTGAAGGACAAATCAGATGCAACTAATGGCAAAATTTACAGTTAAAAATTTGAATTTAATTTTTTTGCTAAAGACTTTCCTACTGTGTAGAAAAGATTCCTGACATTCTTATATATGCATGTGTTTTCACTTAGAAAGAATTAAAAGCTTAACTTAAAAAATCAACTTTCAATCAAGCAAATATTTGGCTATGCAACCCAATTAACAAATCAGTTACAATGAAAATATAGAAATTGAAATACACCAAAAACTTCACTTTAGTGCAATAATTGATTTGTTTTGAATTTTGTGCAAAGCTACACAAGAGCTATCTGCACTAGCCATCCCTAATTTAGCATTGAAAGACTTGAAGGAAGGCAGCTAGTCATCACCTCCCACCACCAACTCTTGGGCTACTCTTTTTTGTGACATATTTAAATGTCAATTATATATAATTATAAACATCAAGTATGCATACAAAAAATATTAATACATATGAACCAATGTACTTAGGACATACATAAGAATCAATTATGTATAATTAAAAATATCACAAAAATATATAATATTATTAATAGTCCACCTTACAAGTGTTGTAGTCTTCTAAAAACGTCAATGTCCAAGATAAACAGCTATTAAAGAATTATGGACTTATATCACTTTTGTTTAGATTGCTTAGAAATGAAATATTTACATAAGATAATCAGTATAGAGCAAAAACATGAACCTTATATGTATGTGAAAAATGTTGGTATGTCAACTGACTGATTAACTTACCTCTGCATTGGCAAGAACAGAATTAACCAATGACATATAAGCCCTCATGTCAGCCTTCTCAGCATCACTTAAGTGATCGTTAAGCCGAATACCCTAAAGTAAAAATACAACAGGAGTTTCAACTTAACTTGTCAAAATGAAATATAATTAATATTTTAATTTGTAACTCAACAAGAGTTTTAATTTAATTTGTAAAAATAAAACAGGAGTTTTAATTTAACTTGTCAAAATGCAACAAGAGATCCTACTTAACCTGTAAGCCACTCCTTAAAATATGCATTGAAACCTTATTGCTCATGATTTGACTTTTTTCCTATAATTTTTAAGCAACTTTATACCTGCTGGACTTTTTTAATGCAAGTAGTGACCTATGAATTCCATTAAGTGGTTTGTAAGTTATATGCTAATTTTTCTTTTCTTTTTATACACAACTACCTTGTATGAAATACTATATAAATATTATTTTTCAGTCAGTTCAAAGATATATGACAAACAGCGAGAGTAGTCAACTAATGAATCAATACATTCTGATCATTACAAGGAAGAACAGTATATTAACTATTATTCATTAACAAGTCAATTTTTAGTTCTGATCTACATAGGTAGGTTGCTTTGGCCAGAATTTAATAATATATACTATTTGAGAACTTAAGAACTATTAAGGTAGGGTGTTTTTTGTTATGTTTAACCTCATTTTGTAAATAAAAGGGTGGAGGTTGGGAGTTTCACCTTGTAGAATTTGTAGGGTGGTTTTATTCCTACTTTAAGGTTATGTTTGAGTATTAAAATAACTGCCTTCCCATAATTGGCTGCAGACAAGGAAAGGCAGTAGGAGTTGAGACGTTGTGGCTGTAAGCACTCAACTTTTAACCCTTAAATGATTTTTAACAGCTGCTGGATAGTTTAACATCAGCATCTGGATTTTGTCTGATAGATGGAATATCTATGAGTGCTATGACCAGAGACATTATTTGTTATGACTTAATGCCATCAACTAGACTAGGATCGATAATGGAAAATAATTGTTAAATTTTAGTTCTGTTGTAATGTTTGTTTTATATAAATATAATATAATAAATAGTTATTATTATCTTAAACTATAAATATGTTAAAATGTTAAACATTAATTATCTGTATGAAACTTCAGACATTTTTCACTTAAAAATATTATGATAAAAACCATTTTAGATTTTTAAGTTTAAAAACACATTTTTGAAAGTTTGTAAAGTAAACATTTTGATTCAATTTAATTCCCTTAAAAGAATAAGAGCTTCCCTATTATGACAAAATTACAGATCTTTCGGTTTTTAAAACATATAAATAACAATCTAAATTTTGTTCACAAATAAATAATTTTTCCCTTATAGAACCATCTTTATTCTCACTTGTATTACAAAAATTTGTTTCATGTTGTCCACCCAATTCTGTTACTCATTTTGTCATTACAGCAGTTATGAGAAATTACATCAGTAATATGGATATCCATGGATGAATTTTCAATATCTTTATAAAAAAAAATATTTTGGATCTATAGCCTCACATACTCTTGTAGTGAGAAAACAGTAACAACAAAAAACATTAGGCAAGCTCCCTTCCCTTATAGAGCATTTAAATGAATGTTATGCTTTATATTTAATAAGTTTTAAGAAAATATAATTTTTGTTATTCTAGATATTCCCAATTAAAGATACTTTTTTGGAAAATGCATGACTACAAAACATTTAACCCAGATTTTAGAAACTGTGACCCTCTAGTACTGGGCAAGGTGATTGTCATGATATAAAAGACTGTCTAGTGTAGGTATTATTAATTTATTTATTTTGTGAGTTTATATTTTATGATTGTTTAGCTTTTTTTTATAATAAGAGAGTTAAAAAGCAGATGATTGTTGGAAGTTGTGTTTATAATTCATTGATGTTGAGACTATTGAATGTTGTATGCAATACACTGACGTTGAGAATATAGAGATTTCTAGAAGGCAGGCAGACAATTAAGTGATAAACATATAAATAGTGTAAGAAGAGTGGAAACAGCAGACAAACAGTAGTAGAAGAGAGTAAAGTCACGGGCAAGAAAAAGTTCAGCGTGAAGTTAACTGCCATAGAAGTGATAGGCCTAACTATTAACATAGGCCTAACATTTAATATGTTATATAAACTGTATATAAACTAGATTTATTTCCACAGGTTCCTCAAAAGTGTTCTGTTTCAAGATTAAATAAAACCAAAGTTATGAGTAACAAATATTTTAATTTATTGCTTTTCAAGTTCATATGTCATGTTGTAGCCTATAGAGTGCATAACTCTTCTCAAGATTCATGGCACGAGTACATTTTACTGATGTCACAACAGTATAAATTGTAATGTTAAGCATCTCTTATGCGATGTCATTTTAGTGTCTACTGAAATGATGTACAGACAACACACTACTGTATGGTTGTGCAAGTGGTTAAAACAGATGACCCATCCAGGTAACTTTGGCCCCCTTTTGGGGAAATGAACTCCATCAACAAATGAGTGCACTTAATGCTTATATTACTGAATTCTGTTTACATTCATACCTTTGTATTCACAAAAGCCACAATAGGGTCCATTTCTGCTACAACAAAAGCTCCACATCTGATGAAAGGCACTTTACCTACAAAAAATATAGGCAAACTAAAATTTCTAATATTATTGTATCTCAAAGAAAAACTAATCTTGTGATTTTACTGTGTCTTCCTATATCGCTACTGCAGAATCAACTAGGCCTAATACAGCTTTTTCAGATGTTCTGTTTTATCAATTTCCCCAATTTGTTATAATCTTCTTCTTTCTTTTTTACATGATACCACTTTATATCAGTATTTTGTTTTCCCCTTCCCACATATTAGAGTTCATGCAGAGCAAGCATTTTGTATTTCAGATCAATTTGCTTTAGCCTACCAGTAGGCTGAATTTCCATTTCTTGATTCGCAACAGCTGGAATCGCTTTTGCCAATGTTGGGGGGTTGACCCTGATCATCCTGTTCATTTATCCCTTGCCTATTTTTCCCACCTTTGTCTTACCCTATCGACTGTCCCATGGTACTTGTCCATCATTCACCTCCTTTCCGAGATACTCCACTGAGATTCTGAAGGTTTTTTTGAGGGATACCCTCTCCTTAATTACCTCCACATTTGTCTTCTTTAGCCCTTTCCTTACACGCATGGTTTCTGTGTTGTTGGGATCTTCTGGGGAAAGTACGTCTTGCTTTTTTTTCCTGTATTGGTACCTTTATGTATTTTTGTTACACTTCTAAGGTTTATTATGTTAAGAAAAAAAAAATAGAAGCAGAATTTGCTATCCTTTGTTACAAACGAGTTTTTATTTCACTCGTCCAATGGATGGGTACTCCAGCTAGTAAAGCATAAACTTGCTAGTAACATAGTTCATCTTGTTATTGTGGTCAAATCAAACTTTCAAATGAAATGTTACTCACAATCTATACTCCAAAAAAAAGGACCAATAAATCACCCGATAATGGTACTTTAATAAATTAACTGTATTAAATATGTATATAATAATATTATGAAAAGTATGCAGAATTACAATGAAACAATATGATGAACAACATACCTGATGGTGACATGCTTTCTGCATTTGATCTCATTTGCACTTGAAAATCCAAAGAAGCCATCTTTAGAAAAGCCTGTACACTTAAACAACTAGCATTATCTGGCAATAAGATTTGTTCCACTATAAGAAAAAATAAAGCATCTTTTAAATTCACATAACACTGATCCAAAAAATAATGATAAGATTTCCACTTAATAAGAAAAGCAAGTCAAATGTTATACCATAACTGAACTGGCTGTAGTGGTTTTAAACATAATTTCAAACTAAAGTAAATTAATAATTGTAATAGGTTTAACATACAAGTTTTACTTTAGGGTTTTAATTTATTCACAAGAGATAATTTACAAAGAAAACAACTTTCAAGGTTTTGAAGAAACATATAAATGTAAAAAGCAGTCCAATAGTTTAAGATGTCAAGTAGTATATTAAGTAACATGCTACACTATGTTATGTAAAGTTTCTTAATGACAATATATTAAAACTCATGGTTACTCTCAAGTTATATTACGTAAACAGAATACAAAATAGTGACATGGTTGGAAAGAGTTTATTAATGATTATTTTATGTGAGGATAGAATAGTAGTTAGATCAAAATACCTACTTAAAAACTGAAATGTGTAAGATAAATCATTAATAGTTATGGTCTCCTCTAATTTTAAACTACAAAGAAAACATATTCAAGCTTTTAGAAGTCAGACTATTTGACCTATAATTTCCAGAGCAATTCTTATCAACCCCCCTATAAATATAGGATTAACTTTAGTTACTCTCCAACTCACAGTTACTTGCACATTGTTCAGTGGTCTACCACAAATGAGAGAGAAAGTTCATGTATTTAATCGTTGACCTCTTAAAACTCTAGAAAAAACTTTTCTGACTATAGTGCTTTATTTACCTTAAATCTCAGTCTTACTACTTGCCATCAAGGTATTAATATCTACATGATTCAGGTGAATTGCAATACTTCCCAAAGAACACTAAAGGTCAAGAATATTGTAATATCTTCTCTTCCAAAAACAGAACAATCTTCAACAAATATCTTGCCATCAGCATCCTTTAAAAGCCCAATTCCAATTTTAATATCTTGTTTACTGTTAATGCACTTAAAAAATGTCCTGGGTGTTAGTTTCAACATTATCAGCTATCTGTTTCTCATAATCCCTTTAGGATGTCCTAATTTGTTTTTTAACAACATCTTTAGCTTTCCTACAGTTCTGCACATTTTTCAGCCTATCTGTCAATCTAAACTTGTTAAACTTACTGTGTTTATCCTTGATTTTATGCTTTATGTCTTTAGTACACCAATTAGGCTTGGCCTTCCCTCTTATACCTTTCTTCTTTCTATCAGCCTGTCTTAAATTGAAAGCAAGTTATTTTTGAAAGTCTCCCAAATCTATCCCACATCACATTTTTAACTCATTATCCCAATTTTCTAATGATCAGTCTTGTCTCATGGCTTCAAAAGTGGCTTTATGGAAATTAGGAACTAAAATTTCACTTATTATTATTATTATTATAATATGTAGCAAAACATTAAACCTAATTATCCAATGATTACTTTCCCCAAATATTACCCACACTTCAACTCTTGCAATCAAATCCTCATTAGTAGTTAACAATAAATATAAAATGGAATCCCTCCCCCCAACCTCGTTAGCTCTTTGACCATTTGATATACAAAGCCACTTTGAATCACTTCAAGAAAAATTTTTTGCTCTTACTACTTGACTCTATACAATCCAAATCAATGTGTGTAGAGTTAAGGTTTCCCATCAGTATACTTTAGTATAACCCTGATTTCATTATAAAATTTCTCATCAACCTAATTTTATCAGGTGGCCTATAACAATTGCCAATTAAAAATTTTCAACACTTGAAAGCCCTGACTGTGACCATATAGTTTTAACTTCTGTACAGTCATTTTTTACGTCTTCAATCCTAACAAGCTGCAATTCATCTTTTATGTTACGAGCTACCTCAGCCACTCTTTTAAAAAACAGCATCATTAAATAATTTATAACTTGTAATTTCAAAATAATTCCAAGTATCATTGTTCTCTAAATCTAACCAAGTTTCAATAATTGCCATCATATCATCTATTTCAACTAAAGTCCTGAATTATCTATCATTAGAATAATAACAACTAAATATATTCTTGAATGTACTATGTTAAGCCTTAAACCCAACACGCTTACCTTTAAAATCATTATTTAACTTCTTATATTCTGAATATTCTATTTCCACACTCCTCATTGACCCAGTTATTTTATCAATTAGTTTATTTCCAATTTTTAAGGTCCCCTTACCACTGTGCAAGTTTAAACTATCTTTAACAAATCTATTTAGAGCTCTTCAAGACATCCTACTCCCCAGCCAGCTGAAGTCGAGCCCATTTCTAGTTTATCCTTACCCCAAAAAATTATCCTACAGGTCAAATTAGCCAACTTGTTGATCTAAGCAAATTCCTGATAATTTTTCATTGAAGTTTTTGATCCTGTCAAGTAGTTCATTCCTGCACGTAGCCCAAGGATGCACTCATGAAAGGGCTACACATCTATTTCTATCCCTAATCCTTTGAAGTATTTAGTTTTAGTGTTTGAGCAAATTTCTAACAGAATTCACTTCCACATGAAATACACAAATGTTCCTTGGTACCAATAATTAATCTATCAACACATTCTGTAATGTATGATACTTTAGTAACTGGTAAACAAGTTCTAGTCCTAGTCTTTCTATGCTCCTAACTACAAATAACTTTATCACTATATAATTACCCATTATGCAAATCTCTTTTTCACACATGCAAACAGCAGAAAGTACAAATCTATTAGAGACTGGTTTCTGAATGATAACTGAACCTGCTTGTATAGCCTTAAATAATTACCTAATTTTTTACTACTGTGTACCCTTGTAAAGCCAGAACTCTTTCTCACCCTCTTTCAAAGCAACCTTTACCATAACTCTACCAATTTTCTGTTTTACTTCCTTGATTTTTTTACTATATTCCCCCTCTAGTAGCACAATCTTCCCAAAAGCTATTTCTAACTTATTGCCAATAAGCAAGTTTGCAAATGTATATTGTATCTTTCTGAGCCTAGTGAAAATCAAATTCAAGTTCATAATTCTCAAAGGGAACCTAATCCTGGCACCACATCCTATAAATTTCACCTCACGTATCCTTGAACTACCTCTGACCATATTTAAGTTCACCAATCTTTATTCTCTATTTTCAATCTACCAAACCAGTACTTGTATATTTAATTAAAATTATGTCATTTTACAGATTATATATGTTAATCTAACATTTAAATCCTTCATTAACTAATTATTTGGGTTATCATAATATGGATCACATAGTTGACTCTTTTACATTCAGAATTTAGTTACATCTCTTACGTTTTGAGTCATATTGACCCAAAGCAATATCAAACATGTTGAAACAGCCTTGAATTGATAAAATATTTTTTTCTTTGAATAGTTTTTAGTCTTTTATGTTAAATATTAGAAATTAATGTAAACTCTTGTTATAATAAACTCAAAGATATATTTGTATCACCATGCTATACAAACCAGTGTTGAGTCAAATAGATCTAAAACATAATAGAAGGGTTAATATAAATGGAAACCAAGATAGCAAGGCCGAAGAAAAAAAATCTTGATAAAATGAAAAAGTTTCTAAAGCCAGAAAGGCAATGTTCTGTTGCTAGCAGCAAAGCTAAAAGAATTTTAGAGTGTTTTATAGACATATAAACAAACATACAAAAAGATATTGGCTTGTTGGAAAGGGTTCAAAGGAGGACTACTAAGATGATTCCAAGTATGGAAGGGATATCTTATGGGGATAGGATAAATTCCTTCAGATTTTTTTCACTCATTGAAAGAAAGGGGAGAAGTAAGGTTATTGAAGTTTACATTATCATCCAGGAAATCAATAGGATAAAGGCCTCCAACTTCTTGGTGCTATATTCTGGAGACAACAAGATGAAAGAATGCAAGTTTAAGATTTAGAAAAAGACAGGCTAAGTTCCAGCTAAGAAACATTTTTTCAACAGGGTGATTGATTTATGGAATAAATTGCCATTATCAATAGCCGAGGCCAACACTTAACAAGAGATTTAATATGCGAATTGATAATTTCCTGAAAAGTAAAGGACGAGTTTAAATTTCTACCTTTGGTCAAAGGTAGGTATGTAGAGACATCCTTGAAGGAACAAATTATGCCCTGTTATCTCTATCATCTATGTTATTAAGGTCACTTTTAACCAAATTAATCATATATGAAACCCTTCAACTTCAGATATCTTTCCATCAAAAGTCTAAAAGAATTCCAGCTAACTACACATGTCACATACAATATCAGGCAAGCTATTCCACTAACCAAATATAGATTGCTAAAGATAAAGACTGCACAGGTACTTTTATCATTGCCAAAAGAAATCAATGAATTTGTGAAAACATTACAAAAGTTTAACTGAAATTACATATGAATGTAGTATAAGAATGAGAATGAACACTTTCAGGAAGAATGAAACAATAATAATAATATACATTATACCTTACCTTCATATGGCTGATATAGTTTAACATCATCTGGCCATGGCTCCACAGCTGCAACAAGTAATAAAACTCAATAATGCATTCTCAATCCTTTCAAACTGTTACAATTTTTGTTTTGGCATTATATGAGATTAACCATTTTGCTGTAAGGAAACTTAGAATACTGTGAAAAGTCAAAAAGAAGTACTACATTACAAGAATTGATAAATATGAATATGCAAATATCTTAGTCACTTTGGGACATATAGTTTTACGTAATTCTATGAACATATAATTTTATATAATTCTGTGAACAATCTTAATGAACACAATTTTTTTCTCCTGCATCAAGGCATTAATGGGTCAAAAAACTTTTTCCTATCCCTTGGATAACATATTGTCCGATTTCTATATTCAAGTATTAATTGCATTACGTGGTAAACTGGCATAAAGAAATTATGCTTTTTATCTTTTTTTTTTATTCAGCTTTTTAAAACTATGTGATATGACAAAGATAATTTTGAAATATGTATAACTGAAAACAGAAATTCAAGAATATGGGAATTTTCATGAAAACACTTTTGCAATAACAAGCACAGAAAATGATAAAACATTTTCTGTAAGTTTTAATAAAATAAAATTACACTTTCAGTTTCAAAGGCAAAAATTCTAGAACCACTAACAACAATTATAGAGTTTCTTTATTCACTCTTTTTCATTTCATCTGTTGTTGTTTTTTTTCTGGAATGCTATCCAATAAAGTTGTGTTAATTAAATGTAATTATGAAGTGTTCATCAACCATTTAAAAATTGCTGCTTTCATGGAAGAAGATGAGACATTAAAATCTTAAAGCATCTTTTATACAGAAAATTATACAAATAATTTTGTTGAATAATGCCTGCTAAAACTCATAATTACTACTACTAGCAGAAGTATAATTACTGAAAGATTTATAGTTATACCTCTGACATCAGTTACTATCTAGATTTTTGCTTGATGTTTAAACTTTTTATAGACCCAATTTCGTGTTTTCATCCTAATTCAAACATAACTTCTTAACTTGGGACAAGTTGGAACAAGAGAGATATATAACTAAAACTTGCAGCAATAATTAACAGAATATATATATATCTATAAAGAAATACTTCAATACTAAAGTAAAGGCTAGACTTTTAGTTTTACTTACTAATTAGTAACTTTTTGTCATTATATACTTATGTGACTCTATGTACTAACTACCACCGGCACCGAAAAATCTACAAAACAATGAACAGAATACATTACTATAAATAGTGGTAATACTAACAGGCTATAAATATAATATATTAATTAAGAGTAATATAATATTACTATTAGTATTATATAGTAATCAACATTCTGTATAATTTATACCTCCTAACTCAACGGCAATAGATTCGGTGAGAAGAACCGAAGGCATGATACTTAATACTGATATAATTTAAAGAATTGTTATTTATATGTAGTTATAAAAATATTGTAATAACCCGCTCTAAGCACAACGTAATACTCGTTCACCTGCAGTCATGCCGTCTAACGTACAAGCTCTGACACGATTTACCCTGTTCGTGTTGAGCTCACTTTATTTTTTGACGCCAAACTCATTTACAAAAACAGTGTAGTAAACAGTTAAAGAGTGCTGATATTTTTAACATACAATTTTTTGTATTTTCAATAAATAGTTTTTAAAATACGAGGTATACGATGAAAGAAAAAAACTTTAATTTCATTTTAAAAATTCTGAAGACTTATCAAAAATATTCTTCAATATTTTGGGATCGCAGTAATAATATAATTTCACAGTAGTAAACACGGTTTAATTTAATGAAAAATTAACTTATACAAAGCTACATGTCAGATGCGCTTTTAGAGGTCACCGTTTTGTTGTTAAGCGGCAAAACTACACAATGGACCATCTGTACTCTTGCCCACCGCGAGTACTGAAACCCGATTTTTTTTGCATTATAAAAACCCTCATATTTATCTTGGAGGGGAGGGGTAAGAAGGGTTGTTTGTGATCAAGTTTCGAGGGATATATTATAATATTTTATTCACTTGTTTTGTTTTGTTTGTTTGAAGTTAAGCACAAAGCCACACAAAGGCCTATCTGTGCTCTGCCCACCACGGGTATTGAAACCCGGTTTTTAGCGTTGTAAATCCGCATATTGATATAAAACATTTGTTTTACATTACAAGAATGTTTCATTAGGTGGTTCGTACTTTTCCATATTGCATCTACATTTTATTGTTAAAAAAAATTTTGCATACTAATATATTGTTACGTCTCCGTTCGTTAATTGATTTTCCGTAACTTCGTTCCGACGAAAATTTAGCGACACAAGTCCTTTCTTAAATAAAACCGGTTTATTCTTTCCGAATATAACTTTACGATACACTTAATTTCAACAGTCGCGCTATAATTCTCAACGAACGTCTCACGTGCTCGAGTTCAATTGCACACTCTCTGACTGCAGTTCAATTAGTCACTACTACACTGTTGTCCCGTCACGTTGTGACCATCTTATATATATACCAGGCTACCCCAAATCTAGTAATTCCCGACAATTCACGAAGGTTCGAGAGAAAGAAGTGGCGTGATACTAGTCACGTGACCTCGCTGACGCAACAATGTCTATATATAAAAAGATGTATATGCCGTTGTTAATTTTTTGTATATGTGTGTGTTTAAGCCTTGCGATATAGCGTAAGTGCATATAGAAAGAAAGAAAGAAAAGAAACAGCTATCTTAGAAGTACTTATATTGAGTTGTAAGGTAGTGATATTTTAAAGCACCTAGTTAATAAATAGTTGTTAGATTTATCAATAAGCCCTTCAAAATGTTTATAATTTTGTGATATGCAGACATATCATACGTTTTCTACCTGTTTTGAGTAAGATAGGAATATTTGAATTCGTTCTTTTATTTCATATTTTAGCCGGTTTTATCAGGAAACCATTGAAATTTACTTCTTTTAGTTGCTTTGTTTCTTTGTTCTCTATGGTAGTTAGTATCTATTCCGCTCAGGGTGATGTTGTGGTATTATTTGCTACAAATGCTAAATAAGTCAACGTCTGCAACGTTCTTTGATGGCCGAGAAGATGATGTCTCTGTGTTATAATCAGCGAACGCTGTGAGAGAACAACAGTCACGTGCCATTGAAAAAGAAAATACACAAGTTTTTTTGCAAAACCGAATCATTTATTTTTTCTCAGTTCTACCCTGGTTTTCATCGTGAATAGTTCGCCAGAGAATCTTCTCGGGAGAGACAAAAAGCTGGCGATTTACTCAACAATCTAGTAGAAGCAACTATCCACTTGTTTGTGCAACTACGCACACTGAATTTTGTTTTAGTTTGTAATAAATAAAGATTGTGTTCATTTTCTCCCAAAGTTGTCCAGTCTTTTTATTTTCTCATACAAAACTGAAACTTGATCAAGTTTTGAAACACACATTACCTATAATATTTCCACTCTCCGGATCTATTTAACATTCGTACAGAAATCAGTTTTACCTTATCATACCACAATTTTATCATTATAGCTGCAGGGTATAAATCATGTAGAAAAATAAATAAACACTGAATTCTTGAGAGTAAACATCTGTAATGTTGTATATTTTCGTTAGCAGTCTGACATTTAAGTCTGAAATGTTTTTCTTCGACTTTTCTCAATATGTTAGCAGTCATCACAAAGAAAAAAACACTTCTGGAGTTCTGGTGCATTAGAAATTAAAGGATATTTGTTGAATTTGTTAAAACATCTATGAATAAAGAAGCTTTTATTTTGTGGGATTCTATAACCTCGCATTTATCGACGGAGTTCATTTTTAAAAGGCATTTTTCTAAAATATTTATTCACCAAATTGTTTATGGGTCTATGGTTTTGTTGGTTACAGGGTCACTAATGGTACATGAATCATAAAACCATTTTATGTATAAAAAACACCGTCAATATCATAATTAATCCCAATCTCAAAAAGTACTACTTGAGTTTCTTATATATTCTACACAGCAAATAAATTATTACACCTGTTTGGTAATTCTTTACAAAACTGTTGTAACAGCCGAAAACATAATATACGAGAGAGTTGAGTACATTATATAACGTATCCAACCTTTGTATTGTTACGTCTGTTCTCTTTTGTTAATTTTCCGTAGAAATTCTTTCCGAGAAACTTCAGCCGATACAAGTCCTTTCTTAAATAAAACTAGTTTATTCTTTCTCAATTCAACTTTGCAATACACTTAATTTCCAGTCACTTTAACTTAAACACATGCTATAATTCACAATGATTTACACATTTTACTTACGGTATGACTCGATTATCTGTCTATATCTTTAATCTCTCTGTCTGCTATTCCAGTTCCGATTAATTGTATCGCTTTATCTGGCGCGCTTATATACAGGAATAGAGGGCGTCTAGCAAATACTAGATTATTTGTGATGTTCCCCGATCCTTCTAGAAACTCATCACGTGTTACCAGCGTCACGTCACTTTCGCTGTCGTAACAGTATTATTACTGAATACACCCACAGTGAAAGGTATGTAAATAAGTTGGTAATTTGAGGAGTAACTAATTTCAAATGTTTATACAATTCATTGATAACATTTTTAAACGCAATATTGCTCATTGATATGCAACTTACTTTCCCACAAAATTCAAATATATGTATTATAATACTACTAAGGGAAAAATTATACCTAATATATAACCAAAAAAGCTCATATATAATAGAGTGGAAAACTTAAAATGCAAATAAAAATTGTAAAGAAGGAAGAAAAACATAAAGAAACGATTTCGAAGAAAATATTAAAAGGTTAAACAACTGAACAAGGAAATTGAAAATAAAAACTGACAACTAGAAATACGCAAGGGAAA